TCATTTTAGCTCCGCGGTGGTTCGTTTCAGAATACTTAACATCTCCAAGTTTTTGGGAAAGGTATTCTTTTGGGAATACGACAGTGAAAGAAGTGGTTCTTTGTGACAGAATAACGTCTAAATATTCATATGCTATTAGCAGTCCCTTTGCTCCTCGCATGAATGACGAGACAACGATTGCATCTCGATTTTTTTTTTTTCAATTAGAAATGTCTACTCCATCCTTTCTTCCTTCCTCTCCAAAAAATACTTAATAAATAAGTGTATATATTGATACAGTTAATCTTTATTAATGAAATAAACATTCCATTGGGTCCAATTTCTATGGATAATTATTAGGTTCTTAAGCTATACCAATTTTATTTTACGGACTTTATAAGTAACTCTGAACACATGCTTGTAAATTTTCATAAAAGGACCATCTTAGGCATACATTTTCACCATTCATGATCAGTGCAGTTCGCTCTAGTTTGTGGATGTTTTAAGGGCTTAATGCCCTCACCTATTGCAATTAGAGCAACAAGGTCCTTTAAGTTACTAATTTATTTTAACGAAAGTAGTGGACATCCAGAGATTCTTCTTCTTCAAACTTCTCAGAAATGATTAGGGCCAGGATTAAAAGTATAAACCATTATAGTGTATAACTATAGTAGGAAATAACGGCGTGACATCACGTTTACCGTATCATCTAATGGATATAATAAGGGTTGCTTTGCCTTTGGGTCTGAACTCTCTGCCTGCCGGCCTTTTTTGACAGGGGTAGATCCCTCCGCAGTTCATCATCTCGCTTCCGCTTCACGATTATCTTCCAGGATCAGCCAACTGAAGTTTTCGTCTACAACAATATAATGGTATCGTTGCCCACCAACATGGTTTTCCTTCCCTTAGCGAAGCCTGCTTATCTGGTTATTGTGCCTCACTAGCACGATTGGTTTTACGAACCCTTAAGGGTGCAACCCTCCTCCTTTTTCAACCAGGGATTGGAAGCAACTATGGCGGAGTTACCTAGAGATTTATCACGTCATTCCTCCAAGAGATATATGTCTACTCCCCCAAGTGGAAATCACATCACTCCTGGTTGAACGTATCTTCTTCATGCTTCTATATAGTTAGCCATCTTTCTTTAAGTTTCAGAATCGCAGAATAGAAAATGTTTCTTCGGATCACTAACCGACAGGATTGAATTAAAAGGGATGCATTTCCTCTATCATCTACTAGACAGTGACAGATGTTACAAGGAGGTAAAGTAAATTCAAACAAGTGCTTTTCTTATTAAATTAAATGATTCTTTTCCGCCATTGTTAAACACGTCAACATATTTCTTTTTCTGTACTAAGCACTACAACCTAATGAGCTATTCCATCCGAAGTCCGAATCCAATCGTCTCTTCCCGAACAAACCGTACTGTCCTAGCATCATGGCCTATTCAATTTTCTCGTTGTAGTTTCGGCCTTTCCCTTCCTCCCTCCCCCCCATGTATTTCTCCTAATAGAATTTTCTTTCTACTTCTCCAAGACACATATTCATGACATGTGTTACTAATATCATGGTCATTGTTTAAGGAATAGATTTTCAGGTTGGTTCTTAACCATCAGTTGCCCTCAACACTAATTGAGTGTTTTATAGAGTAAGAGTTTTGTTATGCCAGACATACTGGTCCTCAGTTGACTTTGGAACACTTAGAAGTCTCGGTTTACTGACAGTATCATGTTATTCATTTCAGTACCACTATCATTATTAGAATTCACAATACTCTCATGATATTTGAGATTGAAATTCAATGATTTTTTCATGTTAAGCGAGCTATTTTTTTAACATAATTTTGTCTTGTTTCATGACGAAACCAATTCTCTCAGCATCTCATTCTTATGCGGTAAATAGTTCCTCTAATTTCCTACAGAACCTTTTAATTTCGTTGAAGTAATCGGAATAGACAAGAATTTGGAATTGTTTTGGAAATTTGTCATTATTTTGCAGTTGCTGACTTTCTAGTCTGGTATCACATAGAAGACATAGTTTTCCTTCTTGCACTTCACCTCCAGATTTCAATACTTGAGAATATTCACTTTGCATCCTTGCAATGCATCACTAGCGGATCCAGGATTTGATTTTGGGGGGGGGCTTCAGCCCGAAAGTATTTTTTTTCATAAAAATAACGATAATTACTTTGGAAAAAAAGAAAGAAACTAAATACCTCTATGAAATGGTGTTTAAGTGATTCTTAAAGCCCTTTTAAATGTAATTACACGAACAATAATACTTTAAGAGATACTTTTTAAATATTTTTTTCGAGAAAAAATGGTTATATTTTACCATTTTGAGGAGGGGGGCTTCAGCCCGAAAGCCTCCCCCCCGTAGATCCGCCCGTGCAATGCATTTCTCACCATTCATTGTATCATGATCACACGAGTTTCCTGGATGTACTAAGTTCCACCATCGCACGGTGAGGCCATTGAAACCTTGTGAAAATTGGAACCAGATTTTTATTATGAATTATTAAATTTTTTTTCTATATCCAAAATTCGTTTATCAATGGGTTCAATATTGAAGCCTGTCTTACACACCTGAGTCGTTGTTTTGTTTTTTCTTTTCTTTTGATTTACTGTCACTTAAATACTTTAAAATTTGAATTTTATTCCGCTACATCGTTTTCAGTGATCTCTGCGTGTTTCAATATTATGACACTGTAAGTCATGGTAAGTATAATAAAATATAGCCCATTTCTTAATATTCCTTTTTGGCCAAAAAACCTTCTTTTATCATTATTACACGCTAAATTCTTCTTATCTTCCAAATTAGAAAAAATACCTTTTATAGCACTACTAAATCAAAACAAAAATATAATTTCTTCATTGTTATGATGAAAGTGCAATTTCACACTTCTCAGCTAAATAATAATCAACCAAAGTTCAAGAATATTTGGAATGAAATAGCATCAGAGACTCAAATTATTGCCAAGCTTGATGTAGAGGTAGGGACAGGTGAATCCATTGAGAAAGGGAATGGCGAATAACATCGAAGTGACTGAGCTGAATTATGAATGCCTAAAAGTTTGACTCAGGAAAGGATATGTTTTATTCCGATTTTTTTTTCTCTCATCTTTTGCAAAAGAACGTGAAAACTGTTGGAAACGAACTTCAAGCAATGATGAAATTCCTTATGAAACGCTGATTTTATTTCTATACATTATGTTCCGCCACAATTTAATTTGTCTAAAATAAATTTAAAAAAAAATTAACATTGTGAAAATATTTAAATTCAAGTCTTCTTATTTCATAAGTAATTATCATTTTCATGCAGTGGTTCCATATAAGCAATTTGTAACAAAAACTATAAAATCTGGTGCGCTCAATACACAACTTTCACTCTCCTTTCTACTTAGAATAGAAATTATTTTCTGGCAATGTTGAGCAATTATAAACTTTTTAAAGTGCATTTTTAACTTATAGCTTAAAGTTTGTAGCTATCAAATCATAGCAATACTGTCCCTTACTATATATTACATATATAGGTAAGTAAAAAAACTAAGATAAACTTTTTCTAACCGTAGAAATGCACAGACAGCGTAGGATAAAAAATATTGAAAGAACTTCAAGAAATATTTTTAAATAATTTCAGGAAAGATTATGATGAGGAATGGTAAAGTGAAGTATAAGACACATAGTCCGATATAATTTAATTAATATTTTTTTCTCTTCATGTTAAAATCATAAATAAAATGAAAGATATACATTTTTCTATTTTTATAATTAGTTGTAATTTTTTTCAATTTAGCAATTTTATTAAAAAATTACCATTAATATTAGAGAGTTTTCGACTTTAAATACTGTAAATTATATCGTTATAGAACGTTGTTTAATTTAATGTTCACTATATCTTACTTTTTATTTTTAAAATGTCTCTGTAATCATTTAGAATGCACTACGATGCAGACTTTTAATATAAATGTATTAAATATAATAGAAAGTTATATATTCTGATTTAATATTTTTCTGAACTTGTTATTTTCCCAATTTAGTATTTTTACTTATTCAGTGCCTAAGGTACCACTCTTCTAACTTGTGGAGGATGCATTAACTGAGAAAGGTAAGTTACTCGCAAAATGTAAAGCCATTTTGTTAAAATTTTTGTTGAAACTCAGAGTTTACGAGATTTGAAACACGGACCAAATCTGTACAATGCTGAAGACGGACTCCATGTATGAGTTAAGTAATTATAGAGCTATAGTTCTCCTTCCGGTTGGCTGTAAGATAATAATCAATATCCTGCTAAAGCGGATATATCCGTATAATGGAAACATAATAGGCAACTATCAAGGAGGATTCATAAGAAGAAGGATCACGCTAGACCAAATCTTCATCCTAAAACATGATATACCGAAGATATTTCTGTTCCCATAAACAATGGAGTTGATATTGAAAGATTCGCTAAAATTTGATAAGTGAATGAGAGAAAATCAGCCTATAAGTAAATGAAAACAAAACAAAATTTAAGACAGTAAGAGCAAAAATAAATCTGGATCAGATTAGATGAAAATTCGTTTTGCAAGAGTTGACAGGCTTAAGTATTTTTTCTCAACAATAGCATCAATAAATGATCAACTATTGGAGATGGATCAGTTTAACAAGTGCAATTGAAGTCCCTTTCTCTCTTCGAAGGATTCTGAAACCTAGAAAATCTCTATATATATCTCAAATTAAATATGTTCAATTATTTAAAACGCCAATTCTGATATATGGGTGCGAGATAGAAAGCCAATCAACATCGTTAAAAAAAGTGAAAGATTTGAAAGGGAAGTCATCCGTGATCTGGGATCAGAGTGGAATGCAGAAAACGTTGGCTATTAAACGAATTGAACAAATAATAAAATTCAAGACAATGATTATTTGAGTGATAAAAAGATCTCTGTTACATATGTTTTCTCAGTCACTGCTGTGACATCTGTTTATATCATAATATATATGAGATATGTACATAAAAAATAAACGAAAAAGAGAGAAATTAAGTACACCGTGCCCGCCAAGCTCACGTTCGGCTGCTGGTCTCGAGTACATTGAACTCTAACATTAACAAGCCACTTCGTTTCAGTTAAGTATCGCAAATTGTCCGGAGGCAAGATCTGTAATAAGATTATAAAACCGAACCTTCCCGCCCGAGGGCGCCTCCGAGCCAAACTGCCAGTGTGACTAAAGGCGACAGATAACTAGCGAGAATGAGCGATGGAAAATACAGCTTTTCCGAGAAAAGAAGGACGCAAACCGTTACCAGTGAGCTGGACCAGGGAAAGGTTGAGGTGCTACCGAAAGGAAAACCGGAGCAGGTCAACGACCTTGCCTAGGATCGAATCTCGAGCGAAACTAACCACCTTCAATAGGTCGCTGCTCGGCTTGGGCCGGCCGCTTAGAGCTGCAGAAAAAAGTTCTATTATATTTCAGTTATGAAATAGATCGTAGCATTTCTAATCCTTGAACTTTCCATTTCACCTAGCAAAAGCTACTTCGGGGATTATGAAGGAACATTATTTACTTCTAGTTTGGGGTCGTTAAGTCTAAAATTAATGGCTACGCCGTCCGCCATCCTTAATGATCCTATTCTAAAAATCCATTGCCTTTTAATTTGCCTTATAAAATAAATATTTCTACACATCCTAAATAAATTCATACTGGTATAAAAACCGTGGTGCAAATATTCGTTTCGTGATTACTGGAAGGTGTGCTTAATTATTAGCATGTTATGTTTCTGAGGAATTCGAAGTTCAACATGCATAGTTCGACATATGTTAACTGGTTATAAATTACTATTGTCTTTTAATATATAAGGCTTGTATCTTTCATAAATGCTGAGGTAATAATTATATGCTAGAAACTATTTAAAATTTTAAAAAAATATGTAAGTTAATAAATTAAGTAGGGAGATCTTCTTCTCCCTGAAGAAGATCTCGTGTCCTGCTGTGACAATAGACAATAAGTCAGTTCCCTCAAAAACGCATGTACGGTATCTCGGACTATACTTGGACAAAAAACTCACCTGGAACATTCACACTAAAATAAAAAAAAAAGACCTGACCAGACGATACAAACAACTGTCACATCTTTTGGACTACAGATCTCCACTCAACTTACTAAACAAGCGACTTATCTACACCACCATACTTAGATCTATTTGGACATACGGAGCAGAACTTTGGGGTTCCGCAAAACAGACACACATCGTCAATGCTCCTTGGTTTATTTCAAATCAAACCGTGCACACAGACATGAACATACCAAAAGTAAAATCCTACATACACAACAAGTACACAACATTTCACTCTTCTACTCTCAATCATCCAAATCCACTCGTTCTATCTCTATCTCCCTCCCTGTTACCTGGTGAGCCTCAGCGACGACTAAAAAGGCAGTGGCCTTGAGATCTTCTGCTGGCAAGTTAAGAAAATATCAAGAATACAAGAAGATAGAATAAACTCCAACACATTTGCTTGATGCGTTACAACGCAGTGGCAAATTTAATAGAAAATAAGAAAATAAAAAATTTAAAGTAGGAAAATGCTAATAATAATATATTTAAAAATAACCAATGAATATAAATACATATAACACAGAAAAATGTCAGGTTCAGAGAAGGGATCAAATATTTTGGTCTCCTCCACATATTCAGGAAGCTATGTCTCTTACTAAATTATTGATCCGTTTGAATTTGCATGAAATTCGTGGTAAAGGGTCGGTACTTTAGGTCAACGTTGGCAGGTAGAGGTCAGTACGTAAAATTTTGTATTCACGTCTCAAAAAGTTTTTGTTATGAGTCGTTATAATTTTGATTGGAAGGTTTGAAGTTTTCACAGGAAGGTCTTTATGGGGTACCGTTTTTCTGCAATAAAAACTAAACCAAAACTAATAAATAGTGTAAAACATTTAACGAGTTTTGGTCCACTTTGTAAGCATTCTTCAGGGTATATGAGAAGCTGGGGTGAGTATGCATATTTTTTCTCAGTCCTTATTTAACGCTGTCTCCTTGATGACTTCGGTCAACTGTTCCTAACTTATTTTGATTAAAGTACTAGAGAACATCTACGTATGAAGTAAAATATGTAGCTTAATATATTATAAAACTAAAAATGCGAGACTGATAGCACACCCAGAAGGAGAAAAAAAATTACAAAACGTTTCATAGCTTCAATCTGTTCTCGACTCCCGTCGAGAAACCACTTTATAGCACATATCAAATCGGGGAGAAAATGAAACAGGCTACCAGGAATTTACTCGTAGGTTAGGGTGGAGATTGCAGTAGCGATGGAATAACTTGAGAGTACCTATTGACCGTTGGGAGATTGAACGAGTTTTCCTGGAAAGGGCTGGTCAATGGCAATACTTGATTTTTTACCAGAGCAGCAGAAACTGATAGGATGTTCCGCTAGGCTTCTGATTGGAAAGTTAGCAATGGATATGAGGTCTCGGCGTTTGCTGCGTTTAAGCTTAAATGCATTAATAATTATAATATTAACTAATATATTTTCTTTTCTTCATTCGTTTAAGCTTAAAAGTTAATATTTGCTGGATCAATATAAATGGAGTTTTATGGTCTGTTATATTTATCACTAGATACTTTAAACTAACTATTTTAATGTTTATTTTTTTCATAACAAGAGATGATATTGTTGTACACCCTCATGGCGTACCAGTACTTAGCCATGTTCTACAAGCATGCCGTTTTGTCACGTTTGTGCTTCAGCTCGGATGTTGATGAAGGGTACTTGAATATGCTTCCGGTTCCTCTGTCCAGGTTCTTTTCGGCCAATGAAGAATTCCGGCACTACAATTCAAGGACTAATTATTAATAACTTTACACACTGCAGTTATTAGTTTGTATAATCTACTGATGTGATGTTTTTGTCAATATATAAAATCTGTTTAAAGAGAAATTGATTGGAGTGTCCATATGTATTTTTATATTAATATTTATTTTTCTATTTTATTGGTATTTTTATATAAAAATGAATATCATTTATTTATTTTTAATTAGTTTTTTGTTTACTAAAGGCCCCAAACAACTTCCCTTCAATTATTCTCTGCAGTATATATGTTTGTTAATTTTCTATGATTAGATGTATTTGGGAGATATTCTTTCGTTTTTTTACTGACCTACAACTGGTTGCTCCGGAGAAGGTTTGTACTTTGTGTCTTCAGTCTCTATGCTTTGTCTCTCTCTCCTTTATTAAATATTTGCAAGCAAATATGATTGGTTTATTATTATGTTTGCTATATTTTTTTCTTATTATGTCCGCACTACTTGCTTAGATTTTCGGTATGAGTTTTGGAAAGAACGATTCCAGAAACCTTAAGCCAAATATAACAATAAAAATTAGTACAATTATATGGAAGTTAGGTTTGCCTACACCACTAAATTTTGAATATTAACATTTTTTGCATGTATAATGAATGATAAAAGAGGACCGGTTTAATTAGGCGTTCTCTCGAATCCGTCGAGTTTTATTTGATTAACTTAGTCGAAGGCTGATTCGAAATCAACAAGAGGCAATAAGCGTTTTGTGCAGGTATTATATTCCTTACTCCTGAAATTTTACTCCCTTTCAAAACTTCAGTCTCATATAGCTCAAAGATCAGGGAACCATTACTGGAAATAACATATTGTAACTCGATTATCGTTAGGTTTGAGTAGTTTGAGTGATGAGTGTGTATTATTATTGTTATGTTCGCCAAATCCTTTCGGAACTTTATATATTTATTTCCCATTGTTAGCAAACTATAGGAGGTTTCCGTCAAACTGAGGATAACTTGATTTATCTCTACCGTCAGTTTTAATGTCCTCCATTTTATTGCCATTGTTCCCATCATTTCATTTGTTATTCTATTTTCCTAACATGGTTATTTTTCCTCCAAAAAAATTATATGTGATTTATGTTTTTTTTTTACGTTTAAACTTTTGTTTCGTTGGAAATTTAGGGTGAACGCACTAACGATGGACAGATTGTAATTTAAATGTAAATAATAAGCTTCCTCATTGATTTAAAGGTTTCAGTTTTTTGTAGACTGAAGAACAGTGCCCTCTATTGATAATTGTTTGAACAAAGTTCCCAAAAGAAAAATGCCTATCATTGCTGTTTCTGTAGTGTTCTTGAGATCAGTGTGTTTCATACCTTCCTACTAACAGTTTTGCTAAGAGTTAGTTAAACATTTATGTTATGTTATCTTTATAGTTGAATAAGAATTTAGAATTTTCCTGAGGTATACCCACTGCTGGTTCCGACTCCCTGTCCATTACTAGAACAATTGAAGTTCGAAATGTCCTAGTGGTAATGCAAACAGGCGTGATTTTTAAATGCAGATTATACCTGCATAACTGAATATTTTTTCAACTTTAAAATGCTAAATAGAAAAAGGAGACATTCTAAATGTTGAAAGGGAGAAATTTATACCTACAATAATTGTTGTGGCAGCCAGAAAAGACAAAAATTTCCTTAGCTATGTCCGTCACTGGTGCGCTTACTCTAGTGATCTATTTATTGTTTTTTCTGTGAGATATATCTGGATACTTTAATCATAATAAAACTTCTGTTTCCTTCACATCACCAGAAGCGATGAAAACATATTTCATTTAATCAGTGGCCTATCTGGATGTTCAGGAGCCGTGGGCGGTAATATAAAATAGTTTGGTAAAGTTGAGAAATCGTGGTAGAATATCAGACGTTTTATATTCTACTATTATTCCATTATAGAATATCAAACGCGTTTTGTATTTACTTTTTAGCTTCACTGGATGATTTCCTCTTAATCAGTGATTCATTTGTAATTTATAACAAAACTAATCATGGTTGAATCCTATTATTCTTCCTACATCCTAGAATTCCTTACTCTTCGTTCCTCTATTCACTCACTTAATATCAGATCTAAATCTATAGATTTAAATATCCTCTTCGATAAAACCACTTTCTTCAACAAATCCTTCGTCATTCGTGCTACCTCCTTTTGTAACTATTTATCTATCGCCTTAAGTAAATCTTCATCCACCAATTCCTTCAAACAGTTTTGATTCCTCCTCCTACTTCATATTCAATCTTCCGCAACCGTGTAAGAATCTTAGATTTTGTAATTCCAATTGCTCATTAACAGTTAATTGGCAAGTACCATTTTTTTTTTTTGTATATTTATTTTATTTCTACATGCCAGACTAATGTACATACTTCTTGAGCTTTGTTATTATTTTTAGAGAACTATAATCCCATAATAAAAATATTTTTTATTTATTCATTCAATGTACGATTAATATTCAGTTGTTCTATCACCTGATACACACTTCCAGATGTCCTTGATGTGACAGAATGTAATATTTCTAAATAAACAAATATAAAAAAAAAATATATATAATATTTATTCATTATTTTCTAGTTATTTTCTTGATCAACATTTCTTTTAAGTCCGATTTC